AGTCTGTGCTTCTGCTCTGCATCATGCCCTCTGCCTATAGATGCTGGTAACTAGTGACAGTCCTGTCCCCTGGGAAGCCTTATTCAGTGTGCCAGCAAGAGCCTCAATGCATCAGTATCACTCAGCAATTAAATTACAGGGTTTGTGTGGGGAATGCTGTCACTTCTTATTTGTGTAATCTTGGGCAATTATTCAGTCCTTCTAACGAAGATAACACCTCCATCACAGAGTCATTTTATAAAGGAGCATAACGTGGGGAACTTGCCAGCATAGGACTGGGCAAATCATCAGTGCTCAATAAATTAGTTTATTGAAGGGAAGAATCCTTAATCCCCATGTGATGAGAACATATGCAAATAGAAACTGTGATTAATGCAGAAACAATTCTCCTGGAAGTGAAAATATGTTGAATGTTGTGAACACACACACACACACACACACACACACACACACAGGGTTAACTTTGCTAAGCAAGAAACATGGGTATTCTAGGTATGCCAACTGAATACATCCTAACAGTGAATACTATGAAAACTCCAAAGAGGGCATGTGGGAATCGAGCTGAGCACCTGTCCTGAAAACACTGGGGTTGAGGCAGTGCTCTGCTCTCAACACTGCATCCCAGACTTGTTCTGTCCTACAATACGGTCCTAGCTGAGAGCTCCATTGAGAGAAGAGTAGTGTGCCCCAAACCATCCCTCTTTCAGTCCTAAGAGGTCCTCTAGCTTAGTCTCCAACTCAGCACTGTGTGCCCCAAGGGCCTGGGGCTCCAGTTCAGACTCTAAAACTATAATCCCTTTCAACTAAAAGTATTTTCAACACTGATTGATGGCTAGTTGAGAAGAAACATTGGTTTCATGTGGTGTTGAGAAGCTTAACAGAGATTTCTAGAGGGGTGACAAGATTCTGAATTTTGATGGGGTTTCAGAGTATGGTAGGGTACTTCTCAAAAAACCATGAAGTTCACCCAAAATAGGTGCATTTCATTATATATATAAATTTTACACAATAACTTGAAAATTGCAATGGATATCCATGTTGGAATAAAAAGAAAATATACTGTTTGAAATGGATTCAGATGGATTGACTGCAATGGTTAGATGGAAAATTACATGTTAATACAAAATCGGTTGGTAAATAGAGGTGTCTATAAAATTCAGTATTCTATAAATGTTGAAAAAGTTAGTCAGTGTCTTGGTTATCATGAACAAATTGCTCTATATGTGCAAGTACACAGCAATCATGACAGCTAAACATTCACCCACAAATCCCTCTTCTACTACACTTTCCTAAGCAGGTCCAGGAACCTCTTGGGTAGAATGAATCATGGTCAATTTGACCAGTTGGTTAGATCTTTGTTGTGAAATTCATGACCTGTGCTGTCACAGCAGGTCAGTAACATGAGTGTTTTTGGTTTTGGTTGAGCTTTTTTGGTATTTTTGTGTTTGCTTTTTTTGGGGCGGGGGTTCGAGACAAGGTTACTCTGTAGCTTTGGAGGCTGTCCTGTAACTAGCTCTTGTATACCAACCTGGTCTCCAACTCAGAAATTCACTTGCCTCTGCCTCCCAAGTGTTGGGACTAAAGGGGTGCACCACCACCCGGCTGAGTGCTTTTGTATACCAAAATGTGCAAACTTGTAACTAGCTTTTAATTGGAGCTGGGCATGGTGGTTCACACCTTGGGAGGTGCAGACAGGAAGATCAAGGGCTCTAAGACAGCCTGAGCTGCATGGGAACCATCTCCAAAAACATCTTTGAATTCATATAAATTTAATATCCAGTTGATTTTCTGAATTCTTTCCAAATGGTATGGAAGAAGGATATCATTTGCCTTCCTTCCAGTAGCCATGAAGGACTCAATTGTGTTGAGTCTTGGATATGGAGATGCTTTGCACACTGGCTTGGATGACACAAATAGGGTTAGACAACCCCACAGTGCTTGGTTGGGTTTATGTGATGTAGTTGGTAAATGCAGATACAGGACTCAAATCAAAATCGCTTCAGCTCAAAACCAATGCTTTCACTTTTTTTCTGACATTTGAGTTGGGATACTCAATGTTCATGTAACTGCAGAATACCAGTATGGTTGTCCAGGTGGACTATGGCTGTTGAGCTTCATATGTATATACAAAGGAGACAGTGTTATTGGGCCAGAGAAGAAAACTACTATTTCTTCTAGCATGACTTTGTGTTAGGAACTTGGCATCCATAATCATGGAATCACAGCACTCACTGTAAACAGGATTTGTTACCCATACTCCACAGATGGGGACAGGGAGACAGGAGGGAGTGTTCCTCAGCTACCAACTATACCGAGGTACACTAAATGGTCAGCCACAGTTCATGGCCTGTGTCTCTACCAGTCAACCTGAGAGTGTTGCCAGGTCACAAGACCCAAACCCATCTAGATAGGTGGAACTCATGCTAGGTCATACCCCACAATGGGTGGCCTGTTTGTAGAGTAGATTTAAAACTAAGCAAATCAACACAAGTCAGCAAACTGTGGCCCAAATTGTTTGTCTGTTCTGTGATCTAAGGCTGTCTTCCAAATGCAGGGAACAGAGCTGAACACATGATCAGCTAAGTTCAAAATATTTACGTTGCTGAGCTCCTGAGCAAAACCTTTGTCCATAAAGAGCCAGTACTGATGTAAGAAGAGGAATTCAAGATCTAGCAGATCAAGCCGGGCTGTGGTGGCACACCCCTTTAGTCCCAGCACTTGTGAGGCAGAGGCGGGCAGATCTCTGTGAGTCTGAGACCAGTCTGGTCTACAAAAGCTAGTTCCAGGACAGACTCAGTGCTTCTCAGTCATAACTAGAACCTCAAGAGTCACACACAGCCTAAAATAGCTTCAAGCAAACAGCCATTATACTAATGATACTCAAGAAGGGAGGCATTTCAGCCACTGCACTGACAGGTCAGCTACCCCTGTAAATGAAAACTGGTGTTCCTTCAGACGACTGGACTAGACAGACCATTCTGTATATAATCTGTTTACAAAATATAAAGCACTAGTCAACCTTCAGTCTACACTTTAAAACTAACACCACGTTACTAAGACTGCGGAGAAAAAGCACAATGGGAGTTGTTGGAGTACAGGAAAACATGGTTGTTTAAATGCTTCTGTGAAGGCAGACCAGCCTTTGGCCATCTGGATATATGGCAACTCCCCCATACATCAGGCCAGACAAAAGGGACAAGCTGGCATGACCGAATATTGTTTCTCCACTCCAGAACTGTCCCTAGCAACAATAATGGGGACCCAACCCTGGAAATGCATTTCTACACTATATGGTTTTTGGTTCACTGGGTCTTGTTGAAGGTTATAACAACATGACAGCTGAAGGCAACACAGAAGAGGGAGGCTGACAGTTTCTTCCATAACTTCTTGATGAGTGGTATCCAAGCAGACTGGGAAGGCAATTAGTCATTACTGTTTGAATGCCACTTTGCTTTGGTTTTGGAAGTTTCCTTAAGAAAAAAGAAACTTGTTAATAAGGCAAAACCACAGAACATGCTAAATTCCTGAGATCAATGTCATTGATAACATCTTAGGCCATGGTCTAAACAATCTCACTATCTTAAAGTACAGTGACATTTCCACTCTGAGCTTGGCAATTCCTTTATGAACATTCTGACCGCATCTCAAGATGTGACTGATCATTCACCAGAAGTTACTGTCATTCCTTCCTCAAAGTGCCATCTCCTCAATGGAGTTCAGCTGCTCCTTGTCCTAATCATGACTTGCCTAGCATCACAGGTGACAAGAAAGTCAAGTCACAACTGAAGACCCAGGGATCCAAACCTTACCACACTTAAATCTGTCCAAGTTTAAATCCTTTAGATTTACATGTTACACCACATCCTCCCACAAATAAAAGTACTGTTCCTATTTCTTAAAATTTCAATGTTAGTTTGTACTTTATTTTTATTTAAAACATCTGTAATCACAAAACACAAACTATTTTAACTCTTAGGTAAGTTTTTTTGAATCATTCAGTAATGGAAACAAAAAATCATAAATAATCACAAAACCAAAATAGTTAATATTAATGTATGAACAAATGACCAATTATCTATAATATCAAAGTCCTGCAACTATAAACCATAAGTAAATTTCCTGCAATATCTTAAATGTTACAATAATCTCCACATGGAGCCTAATACAGTACAAACTGAAAATTTGTTAAACAGAAATAGAACAATAATATCTGGCACAGGTTATGTCCAAATGCTACAGAATTTGAACAGAAACTTACTTATTATACAATGGGAGGCCAGGAGAATCAGCAGACACAGAGATAGGAAGCAGCCAGGCTGAAGCCAACACAGCTTCAGGAAACTGAACTGGACTCTCTGCTTGGGGAAAGAGCAGAGCAGGCGGCTGTGCTGTCAGCAGAGCAAGACATTTACTCACGGCGTAATATTTAAGGAGACAAACTAAAATGAAAACATCTACCAATTACCCACCCTACAGTGACGAGACTACCAGGACACACAATTCCCACCCTAACATTTCTAAGAGAGAGCACTCAGGAAACACAGACAGGTGGATCTCTGTAAGTCAGAGGCTAGCTAGGTATACAGAGGGAGCTTCAGAGAAATCCTATCTTGCAAAACAAAACAAAACAAACAAACAAACAAAAGAACCCTGAAAGAAACTCAAGAACTAAACCACATACACGCCCTTAAAGAAAAGCAGTACCTATCTTTACTCCAGCATTCTGACTTCTACCTGACCACCTGACGCAGGTTGTCACATGGCTTATAAGAATTCAATCTGAATTGCATTTGTTACAATATTCATCTACCACATGTTTTCTGTTTTGTTTTTTAGTAATCATATCAACCTCGGGTGGTAATGCACAATTTATCCCCAACACCTGGGAGACAGAGACTGGACTAATGAGATTTCTGTCCAGTGTGGTATTGTAATGGCCTCCAATTATACCAGTATTTAACATGGTTGATTAAAAATTAACACAAAGACTCTGTTGCAAATTTTTCTTAAGAATAAGTTTAATGTTTGTATATAACAAATATAAACAGCATTATCTTACAATTTTCTTCTAAAACTACTTGTAATATTACACATTGTATTGCACAATTCTGATAAGAGTCAGGTTGTCTGGCAACTAAACAAGAATGTAGGCTGTGCTTCTGTCCGTGGACACTCTCAATGGCAGGCCAGTCACTCTATAAGTCAGTCGTCCCTGGTCCATAAGCACTGAAAGCACTGTCAGCACCGGCCAGGCTTCTGCTTGGGGCTGCTATCACTTCCGCCGGCCACATCCCAGTTAAAACAAAAGAACATTTCCCATGAAATGTTATGGCAAACATTAGTGTCATAAGTAGCTCACCCTTGAAACAGGGACAGGTTTTCAGGTGATAATCAGTAAGGTCTTGCTCTAAAAAATAAATGTTCCCACTTTCAGAGTTCCTATTCTGCAACAGGATGGAACTAAACAGCTCAACACTGTGCAGTAAAAATCAGTCATTCTTTTTAACAAACCCAAAATGTAACAGGAAACCTGTAAGAGACAAGCTTTTCACAGCTAACAATAAATAAAAGTGCATTAAGTGTTCATGTAGGGCATGTAGTTTAAAAACTACATGAGTCTCTTTGGCTTCAGTCATCTTCTAAAAGCTCTTCTTGGATCCCGGGCATTGTTTATTGTGGTCATGACTGTTTGACTACTTCGAGCCCTTGGAAATGGAAAATTGATGTGCTCCCGGCCACTGCTTCTACCAGTATATGGAAGATGATATCCTCTTGAATCAGTCCCAGTCTGAACACCATTTCATAGGAAGAATACAAAAAATTATCACCATTTTCAGAAGTGGTCTATATTATACTACAGAAACACAATCATGTAAAGTTGCTATACACACTATAAATGCTTATAAGTATCATGGAGAACAAGCACATTCATTCCATAATGAGAAAAAACATAGGTTCTGGGGCTCAGCAATGGCTTTACAAAACACATCACTTTGGTACAGAATAAATAGAAATATAATCTAACTTGAGGAATAAAATTGGGAATAGAATATTATTTTAAAAAATTAATTGCCTATACTAAAAAAAATAACGGAAGCAGAGATGTTTGAGTACTGGCGTTTGACTCAAATACAACTAACAAATGTTCCAATATAATCAAACTATGTGCAGACAGATTTTCCACAATGTGAGATGGTTGCAAATGTCTTCAACTAACCTAATCAACTCCAATCACAGAAAGATGCATCTCACAAGGCATACTCCATTACTTAAAGACAGACCTTTAATAGGGAACCAAGGGCCCCTAGTGAGGTCTGAGGAAGATGATTGCTCTTTGTTAAAGTATTCAATGACTGCACTCTGTATTACCATTTGTCTGGGCAGGTTCCAGTGTGTCAAAACAGCCAGTAATTCTGCATGTATTATAAATAACCACTATATCATACACATTTGTAAAAACAGACAAATAATAGATCTTGTCAGAGGGTTACCAAAATTAGTCTTAGTATCAGTGTTGGGCATAATGGACCCCAGTGATGATACAGAATGTGCTCAGTACATTGACTTAAGTCCTACAAAGTCATTTACACAGGTCTCCTTGTTTACTGCAGGTCCCGTTTAACACGAAAATTATACCTGACGAGGTTATTTTCCTTTACATTTTCCATTATTCCCTTAATGTTTACATGTCATCAAAAATAGAGAAAAAGTGTTACCAAAGGGTTCAAATGTCCCAGCATTCACTTTATCCTTCTCATTTTGTACCTGAAAGGCGAGTAAATTAGACAAATGAAGACAACGTAACTCCATTTTACGGCTTTAAAAAGGATTTTCAATAATATGTAAAGATTTGTCTAAGTTCATTCAATGTTAAAGCATACAGAAATCTTTCCCAAGCCCCTTAAAAGCTTTTAGTATATGAGTATTTCCTGATGCTATCTTTACTCTGCAAAATACTAAATAGCACATAGTATCTATTGTCAAAAACTATACACAGACTCACAGATCTATGTAAGAAGGGCACCTTAAAGATTTTTTTTTGACACAGGGTCTCATATACCCCATGTAGGCTTCAAACTCCCTATGTAACATAGAATGACTTTGAACTTCTTTCCTCCTGTCTCCAAGCTCCTGAGAAACAGGACTTCAGGCATGCACCACCAATGCCAGTCTTTTTTCAGTGCTGGGGCAGAGGTAAGGACTTCACCTTTTTCATGTGAAATAAACCCATTTCCCGGTTTATCAATTGGTTTTATTTGTATTCTATAAATGCAGTCAAATGTATCAACCTTTCCTTAAATTCCTATGTACTTTGAGTCATTTTTTCCTCCACTCTCAAACACTGGGGGGAGTACAAGTCTTTATAATTAGCCAGGGTTCATGAGAATGGTTCTGTACTAATGCTCAAAGTCCAAATTTTCCTGCCTTGTATAATGGGCCACTTGACTGTGATCTGACTAGTCAAATCTGGATTCAGTTAACATATTACGCATGACTAATCCCAGGTAAAATGTTGCAGTCTGTGCTTGTGCTCTGCATCATGCCCTCTGCCTATAGATGCTGGTAACTAATGACAGTCCTGTCCCCTCGGAAGACCTATTCACTGTGCCAGCAAGAGGCTCAATGCATCAGTATCACTCAGCAGTTAAATTACAGGGTTTATGTGGGGAATGTTGTCACTTCTTCTTTGTATGATCTTGGGCAATTATTCCATCCTTCTAACTAAGATAACACCTCCAATACAGGGTCATTTTATAAAGGAGCATAACGTGGGGAACTTGCCAGCATAGGACTGGGCAAATGATCAGTGCTCAATAAATTAGTTTATTGAAGGGAAGAATACTTAATCCCCATGTGATGAGAACATATGCAAACGGAAACTGTGATTAATGCAGAAACAATTCTCCTGGAGGTGAAAATGTGTTGAATGTTGTGAGCGCGCGCGGGGCGTGCACACACACACACACACACATACGCACACACACGGTAAATTTGCAAAGCAAGAAATACGGGTATTCTAGGTATGCCAACTGAATACATCCTAACAGTGAATACTATGAACACTGCAAAGAGGGCATGTTGAATCGAGCTGAGCACCTGTCCTGAAAACACTGGCGTTGGGCCAGTGCTCTGCTCTCAACACTGCATTCCAGACTTGTTCTGTCCTACAACACGGTCCTAGCTGAGAGCTCCATTGAGAGAAGAGTGGTGTGCCCCCAACCATCCCTCTTTCAGTCCTAAGAGGTCCTCTAGCTTAGTCTCCAACTCAGCACTGTGTGCCCCAAGGGCCTGCACCACCAGTACGGGATCGAATACTATAATCCCTTTAAACTGAAATTATCTTTAACACTGATTGATGGCTAGTTGGGAACATTGGTTTCATGTGGTGTTCAGAAGCTTAACAGAGATTTCTAGAGGGGGTGACAAGGTTCTGAATTTTGATGGGGTTTCAGAGTATGGTAGGGTACTTCTTAAAAAACCATGAAGTTCACACAAAATAGGTGCATTTCATTGTATATAAATTTTACACAATAACTTGAAAATTGCAATGGGTATCCATGTTGGAATAAAAATAAAATATACTGTTTGAAATGGATTCAGATGGATTGACTGCAATTGTTAGATGAAAATTAGATGTTAATACATAATCGGTTGGTAAATAGAGGTGTCTATAAAATTCAGTATTTTATAAATGTTGAAAAAGTTAGTCAGTGTCTTGGTTATCATGAACAAATTGCTCTATATGTGCAAGTACACAGAAATCATGACAGCTAAACATTCACCCACAAATCCCTCTTCTACTACACTTTCCTAAGCAGGTCCAGGAACCTCTTGGGTAGAATGAATCATGGTCAATTTGACCAGTTGGTTAGATCTTTGTTGTGAAATTCATGACCTGTGCTGTCACAGCAGGTCAGTAACATGAGTGTTTTTGGTTTTGGTTGAGGTTTGTTTGGTGTTTTTGTTTTTGTTTTTGGGGGTTTTAGAGACAGGGTTTCTTTGTGGCTTTGGAGGCTGTCCTGGAACTAGCTCTTGTAGACCAAGTTGGTCTCTAACTCAGAGATTCGCTTGCCTCTGCCTCCTGGATGCTGAGACTAAAGGGATGCACCACCACCACCCGGCTGAGTGCTTTTTTATACCAGGAAAATGTGCAAACTTGTAACTAGCTTTTAATTGGAGCTGGGCATGGTGGTTCACACCTTGGGAGGTGCAGACAGGAAGATCAAGGGCTCTAGGACAGCCTGGGCTGCATGGGAAACATCTCCAAAAACATCTTTGAATTCATATATATTTAATATCCAGTTGATTTTCTGAATTCTTTCCAAATGGTATGGAAGAAGGATAGCATTTGCCTTCCTTCCAGTAGCCATGAAGGACTTAATTTTGTTGAGCCTTGGATATGGAGATGCTTTGCACACTGGCTTGGATGACACAAATAGGATTAGACAACCCCACAGTCCTTGGTTGGGTTTATGTGATGTAGTTCTTAAATGCAGATACAGGACTCAAATCAAAATTGAAGTGAGAGAAAATCACAATGTGAAGGGATAAATGTAAACCAACATTTAATTCTGGAATCTATTGAAGTACAGACGTGGAGGCTGGCCAGACGGCTCCGTGGCTAAGATCATTGTCTTCCAAACGACATGAGTTTTGTTCCCAGCACTATGTCAAGTAGCTAACAATGTCCTATGACTCCAGTTGGAGAGGAATCTGATACTTCTGGGTTCCACAGATATCCACACACCTGTGCACATAGCCATAAACACACATATACACACAAAATCTAAATAAAAAACTACTATTTCTTCTAGCATGACTTTGTGTTAGGAACTTGACATCCATAATCATGGAATCACAACACTCTCTGTAAACAGGATTTGTTACCCATAGTCCGCAGATGGGGACAGGGAGACAGGAGGGAGTGTTCCTCAGCTACCAACTATACCAAGCTAGCCTAAATGGTCAGCCACAGTTCATTGCCTGTGTGTCTACCAGTCAACCTGAGAGTGTTGCCAGGTCACAAGACCCAAACCCATCTAGATAGGTAGAACTCATGCTAGCTCATACCCCACAATGGGTGGCCTGTTTGTAGAGTAGATTTAACAGCAAAGGAAATAAACACCAGTCAGCAAACAGTGGCCCAAATGGTTTGTCTGTTCTGTGACCTAAGGCTGTCTTCCAATTGGAGCAAACAGAGATGAACACATGACCTTCTAAGTTCAAAATATTTACTTTGCTGTGCACCTGAGCAAAACCATTGTCCATAAAGAGCCAGTACTGATGTAAGAAGAGGAATTCAAGATCTAGCAGATCAAGCCAGGCTGTGGTAGCACACCCCTTTAGTCCCAGCACTTCTGAGGCACAGTCAGGTAGATCTCTGTGAGTTTGAGACCAGTCTGGTCTGCAAGAACTAGTTGCAGGACAGACTCAGTGCTTCTCAGTCATAACTAGAACCTCAAGAGTCACACACAACCTAAAATATCTTCAAGCAATGATACCCAAGAGGGGAGGCATTTCAGCCACTGCACTGACAAGTCAGCTACCCCTGTAAATGATATAATATCAAAGCCCTGCAACTATAAACCATAAGTAAATTTCCTGCAATATCTTAAATGTTACAATAATCTCCACATGGAGCCGAATAAAGTGCAAACCTAAAATATGTTAAATGGAAATAGAACAATAATATCTGGCACAGGTTATGTCCAAATGCTACAGAATTTGAACAGAAAGTTACTTATTGTACAATGTGTGGCCAGGAGAATCAACAGACACAGAGATAGAAAGCTGAAGCAGGCTGAAGCCGACCCAGCTTCAGGAAACTGAACTGGACTCTCTGTGCTTGGGGAAACAGCAGAGCAGGCGGCTGTGCTGTCAGTAGAGCAAGACATTTACTCAAGAGCTAATATTTAAGGAGACAAACTAACATGAAAACATCTACCAGTTACCCACCCTACAGTGACAAGACTATCAAGACACACAATTCCCAACTTAACATTTCTAAGAGAGAGCACTCAGGAAACAGAGACAGGTGGACCTCTGTAAGTCAGAGGCTAGCTTGGTCTACAGAGCAAGCTTCAGAGAAAACCTATCTTGAAAAAACAAAAACAAAAATAAAAACAAGAACCCCGAAAGAAACTAAAGAACTAAAGCACATACACTCCCTTAAAGAAAAGCAGTACCTATCCTTACTCCAGCATTCTTACTTCTAACTGACCACCTGATGCAGGTTGTCACATGGCTATAAGAATTCAATCTGAATTGTATTTGTTACAATAATTTCTGTCCTGGGTTGTATTATAATCCTTCCAATTACACCAGTATTTAACATGGTTGTTTAAAAATTAACACAAAGACAACGTTGGAAATTTTTCTTAAGAATAATTTTAATGTTTGTATGTAACAAATATTAAGAGCATTATCTAACAGTTTTCTTCTAAAACTACTTGTAATAGTACACATTGTATTGCACAATTCTGGGAAGAGTCTAGTAGTGTGGTAACTAAACAAGAATGTAGGCTGTGCGTCTGACCGTGGACACTCTCAATGGCAGGCCAGTCACTCTAGAAGTCAGTCATCACTGGACCACAAGCACTCAAAGCACTGTCAGCATGGGCCAGGCTTCTGCTTGGGGCTGCTATCACTTCCGCCGGCCACATCCCAGTTAAAACAAAAGAACATTTCCCATGAAATGTTATGGCAAATGCTGGTGTCATAAGTAGCTCACCCTTGAAACAGGAAAAAGTTTTCAGGTGATACTCAGTAAGGTCTTTCTAAAATATAAATGTTCCCACTTTCAGAGTTCCTATTCTGCAACAGGATGGAAATGAGCAGCTCAACACTGTGCAGTAAAAATCAGTCATTCTTTTTAACAAACCCAAAATGTAACAGGTAACCTGTAAGAGACCAGCTTTTCACAGTTAATAAAAAAAAGTGCATTAAGTGTCCAAGTAAGGCACGTAGTTTAAAAACTACATGAGTCTCATTGGCTTCGGTCATATTCTAAAAGCTCTCCTATGATCCTTGGCATTGTTTATTGTGGTCATGACTGTTTGACTACTTCGAGCTCCTGGAAAGGGAAAATTGATGTGCTCCCGGCCACAGCTTCTATCAGTATATGGAAGATGATATCCTCTTGAATCAGTCCCAGTCTGAACACCATTTCCTAGGAAGAATACAAAATATTATCACCATTTCCAGAGTGGTCTATATTATACTACAGAAACACAATCATGTAAAGTTGCTATACACACTATAAATGCTTATAAGTATCATGGAGAACAAGCACATTCATTCCATAATGAGAAAAAACATAGGCTCTGGGGCTCTGCAATGGCTTTACCAAACACATCACCTTAGTACTGAATAAACAGAAAGATAATCTAACTTGAGGAATAAAATTGGGAATAGAATATTATTTTAAAAAATTAATTGCCTATACCGGAAAAAAAGGAGGGGAAGCAGAGATGTTTGAGTACTGGCGTTTGACTCAAGTACAAATAAGGAATGTTCCAATATAATCAAACTATGTGCAGACAGATTTTCCACAATGTGAGCTGGTTGCAAATGTCTTCAACCATCCTAATCAACTCCAATCACAGAAAGATGCATCTCACAAGGCATACTCCATTACTTAAAGACAGACCTTTAATAGGGAACCAAGGGTCCCTGGTGAGGGCTGAGGAAGATGATTGCTCTTTGTTAAAGTATTCACTGACTGCACTCTGTAGTACCATTTGTCTGGGCAGGTTCCAGTGTGTCAAAACAGCCAGTAATTCCGCATGTATTATAAATAACCACTATTTCATACACATTTGTAAAAACAGAGAAATAAAAGATCTTGTCAGAGGGGTACCAAAATTAGTCTTAGTAATCAGTGTTGGGCATAATGGACCCCAGTGTTGATACAGAATGTGCTCAATACATTGACCTAACTCCTAAAAAGTCATTTACTCGGGTCTCCTGTTTACTGCAGGTCCCATTTAACACTGAAATTATACCTGACGAGGTTATTTTCCATTATTCCCATAATGTTTACATGTCATCAAAAATAGAGGAAAAGTCTTACCAAAGGGGCCAAATGTCCCAGCATTCACTTTATCCTTCTCATTTTGTACCTGAAAGAATAGTAAATTAGACAAATGAAGACAACGTAACTCCATTTTAAGGCTTTAAAAACGATTTTCAATTATATTTAAAAATTGATCTAAGTTCATTCAATGTTAAAGCATTCAGAAATCTTTCCCTAGCCCCTTAAAAGCTTTTATTATATGAGTATTTCCTGGTGCTATCTTTACTCTGTAAAATACTAAATAGCACATATTATCTATTGTCAAAAAGTATATACAGACTCAGAAATCTATGTAAGAAGGGCACCTTAAAGATTTTTCTTTTTGGAGACAGGGTCTCATATACCCCAAGTTGGTTTAAACTCAATAAGTAACCAAGAATGACTTTGAACTTCTTTCCTCCTGTCTACAAGCTCCTGAGAAACAGGACTTCAGGCATGCACCACCAATGCCAGTCTTATTCAGTCCTGGGGAGTAGCCTAGAACTTCATGCATGCTAAGGAAGCAGTCTATCAGTTTAGCTATATCGCCAATCCTCAACATCATTTCCCTTACACTTGGACATCAGAGCTTTAGCCTACTGACAGACTTATAGTACAGTCACCTCAGCCAATCATAAAAACATGCCATGTATTTGGATTAATTACCGAGTTGTTCTGCTGTCCTCTATAATCTGGGTTTGGCTCACTGAAATTTGGCAGTTCTGAATACACCATACAAAACCTAAAGGAATGCAACGGACAAGTTACATGATTTCTGAAGCTTTTTGTACAACATCCTTAACTTACAAGAATGAAAGCCTTATGTGTCAAAGAATTATCTTAACAGTAGCATGCTAATTCAATTGTGACAGAAATTTCCCAAATAGCTATAGCCCATATTAACACCCAACTATTTGATGCACTCATAGAATCCATTTGATCATTCACTGTGTATCTGCAAAGACACTCAAAGCTACAAAGAATAAATTCCAGACGATTAAGATACATAACTGGCTACTAAGTCACCACCTCATCCCAGCACTCCCTGTAATTGACCATACAACTTGGTACCCTGCTCACACATAAGCATTTTCTTAGCTTTTCAACTATAAACTACTTCCAGTTTGGGAAAATCTTAAATTGACCCTGACAAAGAATAGGCATGAGCAAATGAGTGACTTTGTGTGGTTGTCACCTAGCTGCAGCATCTCTGTATATAAAACCATCTAGCCAGATCCTGTAACCCCGACCCAAACACTTGGTAACACATGATTGTAAAGGCCCCCTCTGGGTCTACTCCCGGCAAACTCAGCTCTGAGTACTGAAAGTGTTTAAACCAGTTACCTATCTACAGCATGAGACCAAGTTTTCAAAAGCCAAGTAAGCAGTTTTTACTTTATACAATTCTTCAGCAGACATTATTTGAAACTTCATCATACAAATGTATTTAATACTTACTCTCCAATTTTTTGAAGTTCACCACTTCTTCCAGTATAAAGTGTCAGGCATCCTTTCCACATTGATGCATACCTAGAGGGAAAACAAGAAAGGTTTTCAAAAGAAAGTAGAGCTCTAATAAATTTTCAGTGTATTTTTTATCAGGTAGAAGTGAAAATCATACTCATCTACCCACCATGGCAAGACAAATACAGTCCATGTAACTCTAATAAGAAATTACACAATAACAATGCTACTGGCACATTATGACATAGTTATTTAAATTACAGCCCTAGGAAAACAGTTTTGAGCACTAATGCAGATTGACCCAGACCTCCTTGCACATAAGGAGGCAGGCATTCAGCCACTTGGCTACTATATTCCTGTTTTTAAGCCTTATATTTAGGCATCTCCCTATGTTGCCCAGGCTGGTCTTTAACTTGCTCTAAAGCCAAGTATTCCCCAGCCTTGACATCTTCCTATCTCCACCTCGGGAGGAACTTATCTGTCATCCATGGGCCCCTATGCCTAGCTTCAAAAAGACCTGACCAGGCATGCATGGTGACACATTTTGAATGCCAGCTCTGGGAAAGCTGAAACAGGAAGAACTCAACTTTGAGGCCAGCCTCAAGGAGAATTGGAGGACGAGAGGGTGAGAAGTGGCATTTTGTAAAGCATGTACTGCTGCTCCTAAATGTACCTGTAGTTAACAAGGGGGAGGGGCTGAGTTCCTGTCAGTGAAGAACTGCTCATTGGTCAAAGTTCTCCAAATTATTTTTTTACAGCAATTGTACTTTCTCAATGAACTGTTGGATTACAATTTAAATCATTTTAAAACAGACACCTAATTCCAACAGAAGAGATATCTGTAAAATCCTCTAAATTTCACATTTACAGGAAAGCACACTTAACACTGACCTGTGTGTAGCTTAGTTAAGAGCAGAGGAGGAAGGGAGGGGAAGGCAACAAGACCACCCAAGTCAACACAGCAGTTAAAGTACATTCTGAGGAGCCTCTGATAACAAACTCAGTATTTGTGTTGCCTTCCAGCCACAAAGTATAGGGATTCAACATGAGTGTTTTCTTTCACACTCATTGACATGGTCATGGAAGGCAGACATTTTACTCCTACATCTACAGACAGTTCCCAAGCTCCTCAAAATCTGGTAAAAGTTTATCAAGGATGGGAGGATGGAGTGGGGAGGGGGAGAACACTAATCTTCCTCTTGCTGGCCCTTCCAAACTTTGCAACTTTTAGTTTCAACATAATGGAACCAATTGTTTATTTTAAATGTGGAAGACATCAGTAAGTCTAAGGAAATATAAACTAATCAGCTTAGCAGAATCATGCTGAGGTCTGAAATGTCATCAGGCCTGTGAGATAGTTTCAAAGAGCTCCTGCCCAGAGGACTAAGCATTAGTTATTTCTCTGATGCTCTCTCAGCCAGAATCAATAACCATTTTTCTGGTAGCTCCCAATAAAATTACAGTTGTCCTAATCACATAAGCTTCCACACTTCTAAGATTCTTTTCCGGTCTTAAGGCTAACATTTGAGGAAAATTTCAACAGCTGACGTAAAACAGTGCTCTGTCTCTATAGCCAACAGTCTGTCAATTAAAAGTTCTGAGTATATCAGATGTCCTTCTGCCACTTTCTGTGTATTTGGGTGGAGGGAGTTGTGAAACACTGATCTTACAGAAGAAATCATTTTCAAGAAAGAATGAGTATGCAAGACACTGTCTTCATCTTTACTGAGTACAAATGTGACCACAGAAAATGTCCAATGCGAGCTGGGGCTGGAACTCAGAAGGCAGAATGCTTGCCTGGCATGCAGGAGGCCTCTGGCTCATTCCCAGGACACTTGTGTACATCCCTGTAATCCCACCACCTGAAGTGGAGGCAGGAAGGTCAGCGCTTCACACTCATTCTCCTGAGCATCAACAACAACCTGGAACACAAGAGATACTGTTTCCAAAACGAAGGTAAAGGAAAAAAGGATAAATTCCCCAGCCTCTAGGTTTATGTCCATACCACCTAAATGAAAGGTACAAATTAAGTGATGACAGGATCTCAAGACACTCAAAAGGGAAGGAAGTGGAAGACATAATATCAAATACCATTATAAAGGCAGTGTGGTTACCAGTTACTCAGAAGGCTCACTGACTCCCATACAATAGGTTAAAAATTAACCTTTAAAATTTGAGGGGCAGAGTGCACTCCCTCCCTGAAACAAGGCAGGGCCTCAAAAGGGGAGCTGTTGCCAATTCTGCCCAACAAAGCAGTTCTCAGCTTCTTGAAATAGCCCACAGGAGAACCAGGCCAGGCAACTCAGAACTTGGCAGGACCCCAGAATTTGGCCAACCCCACACCTACCCTCTGGTCAAACGAATAATATCCCCTGTCTGTATGAGTCTTCCCATTTCATCCCACACAGAAATAGTGATGCTTCCCGTTCTGTCAGCTACTTTGCAGGATCTCACTTCATGGCCATCTTTGGTTCTGGTTACCACGTGTCCTGTAGAGATTAAATGAATGATGGGAAAGAGATGTTAGATAACAAGTCCGTTCAGGGCAACTACCTCACCCTCCTAGGACACACTACAAGACTGTCTTCTGTCCCGGGGTAGGAGACCAGTCTGGGCAGGGTGGCTTGGGAGCAAGTGGGGGCGCAGGCAGGGAAACAGGTCCCAATGCTCCAGGATGTGTGGCAGGTTGTGGACCCCACTTACCTATCTCCAGGACAATAAAGACCACATTTAAGTTTTTCAGTCCGGCCTTAATGTCTTTTATAAAAAGAGGAGGGTCATTGACCCCAAGCATACTGACTCAGTTGCGGCTATGCTGCAGAGACCCTCTGGGCAAAGCTTCCCACCCTCAGGGGCCTGGGAAAGAGACCTGGGCAACTTGGGGCTGGGCTGGCGACCCGGGCCTGGAAGTGGTTATTCGGGACCGGGGAAACCAACCCTGGAGGCACCAAGTCAAAAGAAAAAAAAGTTTTTTGGAGGTGGAATAAAGAAGACGCTCACAAGTTCCAAAATCAAAAAGAGCGGCAAGCAAAGCAGGGTGCTGACTGCTGCCCGGTTAAGGAGAGAGGCAGCAGGGGACGGCCCTGCGTGAGTCGAGTCTTGCTGTTACTCACACAACACAGGCGCGGGACCCGATAGAGCCAGGCTCCGGGAAGGGACGGTGAGAGCAAACCAGCACCAGAGCAAAACAACACAGCAGCTCGTGCTCTCAGCAGGGACTACTGAAGGAGCGCTGATGTTGGCCTTATTAAACCGTGCTCCGCCCTTGTGACGTCACGAATCATTGCCACACCTCTCGGGGGAGGAACCGAGCGCCAGTGCCTGTTGCAGCGGATCTAGCTCCTCTCCTATTCGCGCATGGCCCGCCCCCAGATCCTCCTATCTGCGCTCTGCCACACCCTATGACTCTCTGCCCTGTGTGGTCTTTTGGGTTTCTTTAGGCCACTGATTTAGAGCTTGGGCTTCTGTTTGCTCCTCGGGCTTCTTCAATCCTCCATCCTTGCCCTTCTGCACCGCGATCACGTGGAACGCTGGTGGGACGACCCCTTCGTTAGAGCAAGGCAAGGGTGTAGTTGAGAAGGAGCAGTGCTCTATGGAGAGTTGTCAAGTGGGATCCAGGAAGGGGAATCTGGCTGCCAGACCCGAGCTGCCCTTCCTAGACAACTTCCAACTTTAGACGTGTTTAAAATTGGGATCCAGAAAAACGAGATCGCCTCTTAAACATCTTCGTGTAACTTTTAAACCTTTTTTCGTATTGAAAATAACCATACATAGTTAAGTTCCACAGTTTTTTTTTCCATTTTTCTTTAACCCTTTTAACTGGTGCTTGACTTTTATATAACTAAAACGAGTTAATCATGCAATGACGACAGGTAACCTTAAAACATAACCTGAAAGGGAGGGGTGTGAGCTTTACAGACAAATGAGCTGGAACTGGTGGCTAATTGTGGTACCTTTTAAATCCATACTTAAGCTTCCTTCATGGTATCTGACAGTCGCTTCATTTGCACTCTGGAAAGGTTTTTTTTATTTTTGTTTTTCTTGTTTGTTTGTAATGCAAACAAAACATTCTCATAAAAGCAATACAATACTTAAATTGGATCTTGTTTGAAAGGATAAATGATGAACTTTTTAAAAGTTTAAAAATAGGCGAACCTATGCATTGGTGGCACACACCTTTAATCCCTGCACACCCTTTTAATCCCAGCACTCTGGAGGCAGAGTCAGAGGCAGGGGGATCTCTGTGATTTGAGGCCAGCCTGGTCTACAAGAGCTAGTTCCAGGATAGCCTCCAAAGCCACAGAGAAACCCTGTCTTAGCATCAAGCCACGTAATGGAAATAAAGGTGAAACACATCTTTAATCCTAGGGAAGACAAAGGCAACCGAATCTCTGTAAGTTGTGTGTTCGAATTCGTCCTGGTCTACAGTAGGAGCTCCTGTCTCTCAAAACTAATAATAATAATGGAGCAAAGTGTGGCAGGGGAAATGGGTTAGCTACTCCATGAATTCTCTACCATTTGCCTGCCTGACGAGGATTAACGGGGAGCCAGGAATTACAAACAGTTTCACAAAGAGGACCTGAACACTAATAAGACACCAGGTTCTGCATGGGTCCCAGTGCTGAGAGGGGAAGTGGACACAAACTCCTATCCCAAACCCAGGAGCTACCTTCAACTGAAAACTGCTCACAAATGAAAGCTTTTCTCCCATAGTCTCAGTAGTCAATCAAGTCACTCTTTTTTTTTTTTTTTTTTTTTTGGTTGGTTTTTATGAGACAGGGTTTCTTTGTATTGTTTTGGAGGCTATCGGTCCAGCCCGGACTCAGACTCACAGAGATCTGCCTGCCTCTGCCTCCTGAGTGCTGGGATCAAAGGAGTGTGCCACCATCGCCTAACCAATCAAGTCACTTTTAAGGACAACACAAAACCAGCTCAGTGGTATTATTGGAGGTTCTTTGTCAGGTCAGGGCTTATCTTGTTTTAACCTTACAGGTCATTTTCAGATATATTATGGTTTCTGGTTTTTGTGGTTTTTGTGGGTTCCTGTGTGCAAATGTGTGTCTCTGAGGCCATGTGTGTTACTTGTGCCTTTTCTTTTGGCTCTTCCGTTTGTTTTATCCTATTCTTATTTGTTTGTTTTATCTTATTTTATCACTACTTTCTAGATGCCTGTTTGTCTTCCAACTAGAGAAAGAAAAAGAGTGGATTTGGATGGGAGGGAAGGTGGACAGGATATAGGAGGAGCTGGGGAAGAGAAGACATAATCAAAATGTATGAAGAAAAAAAGCTATATTTGATAAAAGAACACACCCCACCACTACCAAAGAAAGAAAGCAGGCCCTGTGAAAAGCAGGAGCTAGTGCAGGCAGCTGGCCCTGCCCCTCCCCTCCCTCCCTCCCCAGGACACTCTCAGCTGATCCTCCCTCACTTCCTCCCCTAGCACAGAGCTCCCACCCTGAAAACTGCAGTCTCTTTCTCACTAACCCAAAGGCAGCATTAAGACACTGCAATAAGGAACACACAGTTCAATGGAAAGACATAGGTTTCATGTACTCCTAAATCAGTCCCCAAAGATGATGGCTGAGACAAAAGTAAAAGAAGCTGGGTGTGGCCTGCCAAGCACTTCATCCTAGCACTAGAGGCCAGGGCCGGCCAGCTGCTAACCTGGTCTACATATACAGTGAGCTCTGACCCAGCCAAGGCTATACCATCTCAAGAAAGGAGATAAAATAACAAGGAAGAAGTTATCAAAATCTCTTGCTGGGACTGGAGAGGGATTCAGCCTTTAAGAGTATGGACTGCTCTCCCGGAGAAGGCCCTGGGTTTAATTCCCAGCATGCACAAAGTAGCTAACAATTGCAGACAATACATACATGTGGTACACAAACATGCATGGTGACAAAACACCAGTAATAAATTTTTTAAAATCCTGTTATGCTATGCTCAGTCTAACCATTACCTACATAAATGTAGCATACATTAGATGTGTACTCTATATCTGGCATTGTACACTTACAAGCACTTTATATTTAGTAGATCCCTCAGTGATATATATTTCATGACACCCCAGTTATAGAGCTGGGATTGAAAACCTTATGCTTTAAAAGTTTTTCTTTTCTTTATTTTTCTTTTTTTTTCCAAGACAGGGTTTCTCTGTGGCTTTGGAGGCTGTCTTGGAACTAACTCTTATAGACCTGGATGGTCTCGAACTCACAGAGATCTTCTTGCCTCTGCCTCTGGAGTGCTGGGATTAAAGGCGTGCACCACTACTGCCCAACAAAAGTTTTCTTACAAAACAAATCTAAAATGTGATTTCTTTGTCTAAAGGGCTAATTGTCTTTTTTTTTTAATAGTCCCCAGTGCATGAGAGGGGATTCCATGGCAGTGGAATCTGTAGTAGAGAATAAAATTTTAGTTTATATATGAAGACATATCCTTGAGATTAATCCAAATCATATATATTATCATTTAATGTTCCTTTCCCATGACTTATTAGCTCAGCTGTCCTGTGTGTGTGGGACAAATAGAAGAGGCAGGGACCTTTAGAATGGTAACAGAGCAGTACCCTTGGGAATGTAAGAGAACCTGAGATCTTGCTTTTTGTTTTGTTTTGTGTTTTGAGACAGGGTTTGTATGTCACTTTGGAGCTTATCCTGGAACTTGCTTTGTAAACTAGGCTTGCCTCAAACTCCCAGAGATCTGACTGTCTCTGCCTCCTGGGTGCTGGGATTAAAGGCATGTGCCACCACCACCACCACCACAAAAATGTTGCATTTTAAAGTCTAAAAATTTCAGAAAAAATACCAAAACATGCACACACACACACACACACACACACACACACACACACACACACACACACACACACACGGTGGGGCACGGCAAATATACAGATGTTTATTTCTTTCCTACTGTGAGCAGTACAGGGGTTAAAGACCCTAGATTCCTTCCATTTCTCACTAACAATCCCTAAAGACGCCAAAGTTGGGTTGTGATCATGTTTAATTGTTCATACCCAGGGAAAGGGAAAAAGAAATTTCAAAGCAAATGAATTGTCTTCAAGGCACAAAAGATCATGACTTCTCCAAGGGGGGCATATTTCAGCCTCTAAAGTGTCCTTACACATTATAAAAGCAATCTCTGTCTTTTAAAACTAAATTGTAGTAAAAGAGTAAGTGGAAAGTTAGAATCCATCATGATTGATGAGTAAGGAGTGGATTGGGCCTCATATTGTTTCTGATAATGGGGGTGGGGGACTGGAGAGGATGAGAGGGACTCCAAGAGGCCAGGGCATGTTTTTAGGTCAGAAACCAGTTAATGAACAGAGGGCCATGACACAGATCTTCCATTCCTTATCCATTGTTGCTGGGATAGATTCACTGACCCTCCTTTCCCAAGTTCTTTATCATTGCTGAACATTGTGTCCTTTGTTTTTTTTTTGTTTTGTTTTTACACAAGATTGTGGCATTTATAAAAGGCAAGCATGGAGCTCGCTATACAAGCTGTGCTGTCTTGAACTCAAAGCAATCCCCCTGTCTCAGTCTCCTAAAGCTGCAATTATAGGGATGAGCAACCACTCTGTTCGGTGGCAGAAAACTACTTGGCTCATCTGGGCTACTTGTTTGGTCTCTTGTGAGTAATTTCTACAATAAATACTTAGTGTTACTTTCAGTGAGTGTGCCGTTTATCGTTACAGCATCATAATGGCGATCAGAAGTGGGATCATGAATTTCCACGTAAAATAACAAAAGCTTTAAAGGAATTTTAGAAACAAAAGAGCGAAGAAAAGCATGGGTTCTTGGTAGCAATATTTTTCTCAGATGGGCTGTGTTTTGCTAGCGACAAACAGAGATTCATGCAGCTGGCTTAAGTGAGGCTTCCTGACTCAGCAAAAAACAAAAACAAAAACAAAAAACAGCAAGGTTCTTTTAAGAGGCTCTGTTAATGATTAAAAGGTGTGTACATACAGCTGGAAGTGGCAGTGACCACATCTCCAAGCATAGACTGAGGCAATGAGCTGGAATTATGGTTACGCCCGCCATCTTGGAAAAACTGCAATTTAAACAGCCACGGTTTTAACAGATAAGACACGTGGCCAGAAAAACATAAACATTTACAGTAAAGTCAGACTTGGATGAAGAAAAGCCTCTAAAGGTTTAAAGTATGTTTAAAAATATACGTAAAATTGAGAGAGAAAAACAAACGGCATAGTGGTAAATAGAGAAGCCG